CCTGGATAGGAAGACTTAACATTGTGAAAATGTCAATACTGCCCAAAGCAATTTACACATATAATGCAATCCCAATCCAAATCCCAGCGACATTCTTCAAAGAGATGGAAAAAACAATTACAAACTTTATATGGAAAGGAAAGAAACCCAGGATAAGCAAAGCACTGCTTAAGAAACAGAAGAAGGTTGGAAACCTCACTCCCCCGCTTCAAAATTTATAAGGGCTACAGTGGTCAAAACAGCCTGGTACTGGTATTTCCTGTGGGTAAATACCAAGTAGAGGAATTGCTGGATCATAAGGTATTTCTATTTCCAACCTTCTGAGAAAGCATACAACAAAACAACATCTGTGGTGATTCAGTAGATGAATTTTAAGTCCTCTTCACTTTCAGCGAGTAAGGTTGTATCATCTGCATATCGCAGATTGTTAATGAGTCTTCCTCCAATCCTGATGCCACGTTTTTCTTCATAGAACCCAGCTGCTCGGATTAGTTGCTCAGCATATAGATTGAATACCTCTATTATGTATGAAGTTTTTTCCCTAAATGTAACATTCTGTATTTTTCACAAACCCCTCTAGGGCTGCTACATAATTGTCATTTCATAAGGATTTATGGAATGAATGAATTTATCCTTCATCAGTTAGGATCAGGTACATCTCCAGATTTCTTTGTCTGCTTTCACAGTGACTTGCTTGAATTTTACAGCCTCTTTGGCACTGTAGGATCAGCACTGGACTACGAACTACAAGGTTGGCAGTTCAAACCCACCAGCTGTTCCTCAGAAATCCTATACAGCGTAGCTAGGAGTCTATGAGTCAGAACCATCTTGTCAGCATTTAACAACAACAACCAGTTTTAAGAGGCCATATTTAGAAAACAGCCAATTCTGTGTTTATTTTGTATGACCAATCTTTGGCGTCCTGGTGTGGTGCGGTAGGGTAAGCACTGACTGAAAAGTCGGTTTGAAAAGCAAAAACTTACCAGCCACTCCTTGGAAAACCTATACAGGTCTCTATGAGTCAGAAACAACTTGATGGCACTTGACAACAGCTTAGTTCTTTTGGAACCCTGGTGTGGCACTGTAGGATAAACACTGGACTGCTAATCACAAGGTTGGCGGTTCAAGCCCACTTGTCGCTCCTCGGAAACCCTATACAGGGTCGCTATGAGTCGGAACTGATTCCATGGCACTTTAGAACAGCAATTCTTTTATAGTAACTTTTTTTTTTTGCTGTTTGTGTTGTTTCTGTTATTGTGTGTTCATCAGTGTGCAAGTAATATCAAATGTGAAGTTTTATTTATGTTCATACTGTAGGGTTTGACACTAAAGAGCCACCATACATCGAAGCATTTTTTAATCAGTTTATTCCTACTGCAGATGGAGGAAGGATTTATGGTTCTCTTCTTTTCTAGAAATCTGTAACTTGATCATCTGTTTGAGCGCTTGCAAGGTGAAAGCAGGATGCATAAAATTACACAGAGCCATGAGCAAAATGCATTGGAATAGATCACTCATCAGTACAAGAGTCATTTGCCCTTAAGGCAAAATTCATGGTGTATTTGATTTACATGAAAAATCTGTGAAGTCAAATTTGACTTTAATCAAGCATAGTAGAAACTTTGGGGGGTGGGGAGGAAACGCCAATCTGCTGATCTTCACAGAAGTGAGAAAATCTTTCTCCATGGTAAACAGGAGAATTTTCGTCCTGAATCCCAATTCCCCAAGGATTGGATATCCAACGGCACCAAGTCCCACCTCAGTAAGCACCAGAAAAGTCAAAAGGTAAGAGATTCTGCACGTATGCAGTGAATGTGGGAAAGCCTTCATCAAGAAGTCTTGGCACCTTAGACATCAGAAATGCCACAGAATGCTTAAATGCACCGAATGTTTGAAAGAATTCCCCGTAAAGTACAAGCTTATTATATATCAAAGAACTCATAGAGGAGAGAGACAGCACGGCTGCAGCGAGTCTGGAAAAACGTCCCCCTACTTGTCTTCCTTTGATAGAGATAAAGCACACAAGAAAGAGACGTACATTCAGGACGGGTGGGAGAGAGACCCGTGTGCAAGGAGTCAAGCCTCATCACACCAGTGAACTCAAGCATGATAAGAATCCTGTTAGTACCGTGACGACACAGATCCTTTCTGAGACTGCGCAGACATCGGGAAACGCCAGGGGCTCCAAACGAAAGGAAGTGTGGTCCTTGGGAGACACCGTTGCCAGAAGACAGCCATTGGGATAAACGGGAAATTTTGTTCAGCAGCAAATCCCGTGAATGCGGTGAATGTGCTAGTACCTCCGGTATCCAATAACATCTTATTTTATGTTCCATATAACCCACAGGAGAAACAAAAGATACTTTAGTGGTGGAACTAGTGATTAGCAAACATTTCGATGTCGTTGTATGGCTACAGAGAGTATCCCGAGGAAATCAGCTGACTACAAGAACTGGGAAAGCATGATCCCTTCATTGTAATTAAATACGTGCTTTGATATCAAAACAGGATCTAATCTTAACCAAAACGCATATCCGTTGATTGCTGTAGTATGTCAATTCAATAAAGGAAAGTTCAGAGTTCATGTCAGTGGACGAAATTAATAATGTGAATTTTGAAAAGAGAACTGAGAGTCAGATTCTGGAATGTTGCTTTTGGTTGTACATTGCCTTCAAGTCAGTTTTGATTCCTGGTGACCCCATGTGACAGAAATGAAAAACTACCGAGGAGAAAAGTGCTCACGGGCAATGTTGAATTGGTGGGATTTGGGCACATATACTTTAGTTCAGTAAGGAGCCCTGGCAGTGTGGTGGGCTAATGCGTCAGACTGCAAATTCATTTGAATTGCAAGGTCTTTGGTTCAAGCTCACCAGCTGCTCCTTGGAAACCCTATACACTCGCTATGGGTCGGATCGACTCGACGACACTTAACAACAATAACTACAAGGTCAACAGTTCAAATCTACCAGCCGCTCCATGGCAGAAAGATGAGGCTTTCTGCTCCTATGAAGATTTACAGCCTTGGAAACCCTATACAGGGTCGCTATGAGTCAAAACCGACTTCATGGCACACAGCCATGTTGTCTCTGGAACAGTGCTACTATCCTTCCAAAGGATTGGGAAAGGGTAACACACTTACCCCACGTATAGAAGAGGTTAGAAAGACAACAGGCTTAGGCAGATAAAAGATAGGCAGAATTTATTAAGCATACGCATTCTTACAGAGATATAAGATGGGCTTCCACCTCATGATTGAGGAAGAGCAGGTGGAGCCCCAAATGGAACTCAGCTCTCCTTTATCTAGCCTTCTGTTGGGGCATGAACTGGACTCCTGGTCCAAGTGTACGAGCAGGTAAATTGGAGAATTTACTCTGAGCGCTATAGAATAATTACTACTCTGAGCACTATAGGATAAGCACTGGACTGTAAGGTCAGTGTGAACTGCAAGGCTGGCAGTTCAAACCTACCAGGGAGCTCCTTGGACACCCTATACAGGGTAGCTATGAGTCAGATCCGACTCAATAGCACTTAACAACAACAAATTAGGATCTCTTTACTGCTGAGGCTGACCGAATTTTCTGCTGCAATTTGGGGAATTGGTTTAAATATGGTTTCCTTGAGTTTTGTTTTTCAGGTTTTAGCTCATTATTAACTGTTTTTATTTTCCCTTAATAGTCTCCCCTCTCACCTACCCCTGTTCTCAAAACTTCCTCATTGCTCAGATTGGCTTGTTTCTGCCAGGACAAGCCACAGAGAATGAGTTAAGACCCTCTTCTGTTTCTCGATTCTAACTGCCTAACCACCACCACTTTATTTAGTTCAGTTAGTTTCTGCAGGCCAGCGTGGAGGAACAGTTGGAAATCAGAATTGTGGTTGTTGTCGACTTCGACCCACAGCAACCCTATATAGGGTTTCCGAAGAGCAGCTGGTGAGCTTGAACCACCGACCTTTTAGTTCAAATGGCTTTGCTGTCTGGCGCATTAACCCACAGCGCCACACCAAGATATCAGAATAGCTACCATTAATTTTAGAACTTTATGTTATGCAGAGGGACCTATCAAAGAGTAGTCTTCCATTAAGTCGATTAACGAAAGTAACGAATATTGCTCACAGTGGCGTTGTGAGACCTACTAGGTAGAAAGTTCTGGCCTTTTACTAGCTTCACATTTAATTGCTCTGTGTTGTTGTTATTGTTAAGTGCTGTCAAGTCAGTTCAGACTCATAGAGACCCTATATAGAGATTCCAAGGAGCGACTTGTGGGTTTGAACCACCAACCTTTCAGTGCTCACCCTAGAACCACACCAGGACTCCAGATGTTCTCCTAGATCATCTTTTGCTATGTCTGTACTGGCCACTCCAATCCTCCACCAACTTCTCCCGACTTTTTTGTTCTGTTCTTAAAGCCACTTTCTCATAATGGTCTTCACGGTACCACGTTTTCCCATCAGCCTGTTTCTTTCCTGGGCATGCTTTCCCACTGTGCAGATATTTGAATTCCCACCTGTCTGTTTTTAAATTTTGTGTACTGTTTAAAAGGTGAGCCTTTATTATTTTTCTGCCCAGCCCGCAGATAGCCAGGAGTTTGATCCGTTCCATCTTTGTGTGTGTGTGTGTCGAGCCTGTGAAAATCTATTTTCTGGAAGGAGGGAGAAGACCAATATTTGGACAGTGTTAGTAGCTTCTCCGGCTCTCTTCACCCAGGCCGTCCCGTCAGTGTAGGGTTTTGGAGGAGCTGCATCGTTGTTAAGTGCTGTCGAGTTGGTTCCGACTCATAGCGACCCTGAATAAGTTTTCCAAGAAGCTGCCGGTGGGTTTGAACAGCCAACCCTCTGGTTAGCAGTCCACAGCGTCTCCTATAGAGCCACATTAGGAGCGTGTTGTTGTTATTAAGTGCCATCGAGTGGGTTCTGACTCATAGCGACCCTGTACAGGGTTTCCGTGGAGCGAATGGTGAGTTAGCGGTTTAAATGACGTTACCGTCCAGTACATTATCCTTTAGCGCCGCAACAGGTCAAACATCGCCCTGTGTTTTGTACGGAAATTGCTCAAATATGGCCGCTTCCTGAAAGTTACGTTGAGATGGACGCAGACATTTTGCCTCATACGACCGTACGGGAAATCTCGTAATCCGCCCTCCTCGTCGGCCCCCGTAGCCCAAGAACGTTTTTCAGGACGATTGGAGATGTAGAAACCGTTTACGGAAGTTAAGTGTAACTTTTTGGAGATACACAAGCCAGTGAGTATTTTGTGTTCGAATAAGGGCAGGGGATATGTGAACGTGGAGTAGTGAAGGCTCGTGGAGTCCGGGGTTGAGCTACCTGAGGGGAGGCTGTTGGGAGTCGGCGCCTTTGGGGTCTGAGGCTGGGTGAACCCCGACTGCAGGGTACGGGGTCTTTGCGCGTCGCTGTGCTTGTCAGTTTTCTTGTGTTGTTTGTGGTTGTTGTTGTTAGATGCCGTGGAGTCGGTTTGACCCTATGCACAACAAACGGACCACTCCCGATCCTGCGCCATGCTCACAATTGTCGTTACACTGGAGCCCACTGCTGCTGCCACTGTGCCCGTCCGTCTCGTTGGGGGTCTTTCTCTTTTTCGCTGACCCTTCACAATATGATGTGCTTTGATAACATGTCTGATATGTGAGAGACAGGTCACACCATCCTGGCTTCTAAGGAGCATTCTGGCTGAACTTCCAAGATAGATTTGTTGTTTTTGGCAGCCCATGGTACACTATGTATTCTCCACCAACACCTTAATTCAAATGCATCAATTCTTCTGTGGTCTACCTTATTCATTGTCCAGTTCTCACATGCATATGAAGCGATGAAAAATACCATGGCTTGATTCAGGACCACTGTGGTCTTCAGAGTGACATCTTTGCTCTTTTAACGCTTTAAAGAGGACTTTTGCAGCTGAGTTGTCCAGTGCAATACGTCGTTTGATATCTTGACTGTTCCTTCTGTGAGTGTTGGGTGGAGGTGGTAGTTTCAGTGAAAGTGGTTGTGGTTCTGGATTAAATATGAGAATCAGTGATGTTTTACCGGTGAATCTGGATTCGGACAGGAATTCTGGTCGTAGTTTCCCACTAAGTAGTGTCTGTGCTGAAAAAAACAAAACAAACAGCTTGTAAAGACCAAAGCTTTGGAAGCCCAAGACCCCCATGTCTAATGGCTGTGTTGATGTTGGATGCTCAGCTGCTGAAACAGATGCCAGGACATGCTCTAGGCAGTCGTTTGGAATTCTTGATTTAGATCATCACAAATGCCCTTGGCAAAGGTTGTCATGCTTGGCAAACTGAAGGTCAGCAAAACAGAGGACGATCCTCAACAAGATGGCTTGGTACAGTGGCTGTAACAGTGAGCTTGCAGAACCAGGCAGTGTTTGATTCTGTTGTGCATAGGATTGGACTTGATGGACTAACAACAACAATGCGTTCTTTTCTAGTCCATAGGTGACTACATACAAATTTAGGTACTAATGCACCCTGCCCGTGTATCTAAGGCTGCTTTTGCATTGGAAAAGTAAACTTGAGTCGCCTTGGAGACCTTGTGGCTCACAAAGCTCCCATAAATCCACACTAGTAACTTTGCTGACAAAATCTCTATATTCTTTATTCATCCCTCTGGCCTCCCTTATCCTAGTTTATTAGTCAGACTTATATCCCAGTAAATCCTCGTTTTCCAATTTCAGTTCCCACTGCTAGTATAGGAATGGGATGGAGATGAGTTTGGATGTATGGTACATTCCTACCCAAGTATGTATGTAAACATCTGCTTGAGGGTTCATTGGTGTAATGAAGCATAAATAATCACCTAGATTCCTGAAAGATAAAACTCAGGATTTGCAACAAATCTGGCTCCTATGAAGGGGAGGTCACACATGTCTCCATTCACCATCTTTGACCTCAGTTGCACCTGCCAGGGTGTGCTGTATGTCTCTGCTTGTTTGGATACTTTGTTGCAATGGCCACCAGAACTCACCAATTGTACTTACAGTTAACTAGCTTGTTAAGGAATTAGCTCACTTTTATTTATGTGGCCTGTAAAAATGGCCTTGTGGGGGCGTCTAACCTCCTCTAACATCCCACGGAAGGAGGGAGGGAAGGCAGGAGAAGCAAGATCAACAGCCCAAAGCTGATTTGTATGGGGTGAAAGTCAGACATGCCTCCTCCCCTCAGCCTGTGTACCGGTTCTGACACCAGCAGTCCCTCCCTTGGCACTCTCCACTTCTCTGCTCAGTGTGAGAATGTGTTGCAATGCCACACAAAGCTCACAGAAAGTACTGGTAATTATGGGGTTTATTAGGGAAGTAACAAGTTACAATTCAGGATCCGGAACAGCTCAGAACACAGTTGCTCAAGCTAGACATCCTCTTCTCTGCCTTGTCTCAAAGCAGGCAGGCATCCTGGGCTGGCTCAGCCTCTGCCCTCTCAGGCAAGTGTTAAGACCTCTTTAGCTCCCACATACCCAGAGGCACCCGGCTTTGCTTTATGGGCTGGAAAGGCCACCTCGCTATCTCACACTGGTGTCCTAGTTCTGCTGTCTCTCTGTCTCTGCTGCTGCTGCCGCTTCACAGTTCTCTGGTGTCACAGCTCTGTTTCATGGATCTAATTGGTACCTCTGGGTCCCCAGATCCAAAGCATGAGCTCCACACCTGTCCCTTATTGGTTGTAGTCAAGCTCTCCTCTGCTCTGAGCTTAGCTCTCTTTTAAGCCTAGCATGCCGGCAACATTTGCGACTCCTCTCATTTGGTTTCCACACATCGCATCTTATTTGCATTATTAATAAACTGTCTAATTCCCTTGGTCAACCACAAGCACCTTATTTGCATAATCTCACCTAAGCATTTTGTAGGAGTCACAAAGACTATGACTAGAATGTTGCTGTTGTTAAGTACCGTGGAGTCGGTTCTGACTCTTAATGACCCTGCACAGGGTTTCCAAGGCTGTAAATCTTTGCTGGTCCAGAAAGCCTCATCTTTCTCCAGCGGAACCGCTGGTAGTTTCCAACTGCTGGCCTTGAGGTTGGCAATCGGACTCGTAACCACTAAGCTACCAGAGCTCCTTATGACTAGAATGTTGGTGTTGTTGAGTGCCGTCGAGTCGGTTCCGACCCCTAGCGGCCCTGTATAGGGTTTCTGAGGAGCAACTGGTGAGCTTGAACCGCCGACCTTGCAGTTCAAATGGCTTTGTAGTCTGGCGCATTAACCCACAACGCCACACCAGGACTCATATGACTAGAATGTTGTTGTTGTTGTTATGTGCCATGGAGTCAGTTCTGACTCATAGCGACCCTGTACAGGGTTTCTGAGGCTATAAATCTTTATGGGAGCAGAAAGCCTCCTCTTTCTCCCGCGGAACAGCTGGTACTTTCGAACTGCTGACTTTGCGGTTAGCAGCCCGATTCGTAACATCTATACTACCAGAGCTCCTTATAACTAGAATGGAGCATATCAAATAATTCCATGTACTGCATGCCTTTTCTCACCACAGTCTTGCAGCTCCCACCAAATGATTGAGTGGATGATGCATATAAGGTGTTGTATCCCACCAAGGGGATTGGAAAAGTTTGCTAATAATGCAGATAAGGTGCATGGCACTAATGTGGGGATGGAACTATGCAAGTAAAGTGTATGAAGCCTTCAGGAGTGGATCAGTCAGTTTTGCCATCCCACTAGGCTTATAAAGGGGTGGGGGGGACTCACTGCCCGCCGGAGGAACCTGGGGTACCTGTTCTGAGAACATCCTAGACCTAGAAGATAGATTGAGGAAGAGATGTAACACCACAGTCTGTGAAAGATGGCAAAACGCAGAGGCGAAGAAACAGGGACAGCAGAGCCAGGCTGTAGGTGGTGCCATGGGCTGCCCAGTCTGTGGACCCAGGTGGCTGCGGTGGACACATTGACCTGTGGGTGGAGGCTCAGTGGCATGGTGGGTGCCTCTGGATACTTGTTGTTGGCAGAGGTAGATTTGCTAGTCCCCAACAGCAGTAGAGCTGAATATCTTTGGGCTGAGACTTACTGGTGGGGTTACGTGCCCCCAGGCACTTACCGACAGAGCTAAAAGACTTGCCTGGAAGCACAGGCCAGGACCAAGGGCCAGAGAAAGGTTGTCTATGGGCATGTCTGAAGGCCTCTGCGCCTGATCTACAAAATGGCATCGCAGCTACCCCCAAGTGGCGCTGAATAAAGTCCTGCTTGAGCTTCAGGTCTGCAGAAGGCTTGGGTCTTTTTGTTACACCAAGAAACACACACACCCGCCAGGCCCGTAGTTTCAGATTTCAGGGAAATCTCCATAACCCCGCCCATTGGAAGCTCACCAGAACTGTACCCTGGATCCACAAATACCCCGTCTGTAAGAAAACAGGTCTCTTCTGGTGACTTAGAGTACCCCCGCCCAGGTTTACTCTCAGTCTCGCATCGCTCCTTTTTCTTCCTTTTCTTATGTCTTACACCGTCTTAAACCCATCATCGGAGTTAATTCCATAGAAGAGCAGTCAGTGTTGGAATTCGTATTGAGGTTGGAGGAGATTTGTCTAACCTTCACTTCACAGGAATCAGCTTTGGGGTGATTAAAATGGTGATTCTGTCTTCTCTCCCTCCTCAAGTTCCAAGAGTCAGATCCTCCTACCGTACCTTTTCCAAAGAGTTCCTCGTATTGTTTATTTGTACTACTCTACTTGGATCCTTCTCACAACAAATATGTACATTTTGTTCTTGTAGTTGTGGAGTGCCATCGAGTCGGTTCCAATTCTTAGCGACCTTGTGTAGTTTCCCAGGAGCGGCTGATGGGTTTGAACCATTGACCTTGTGGTTCAAACCATACTGTGATCTGTCCTTATCCTACAGCGCCACACCAGGTCTTTTAAAAAGTACAGTGTTTTTCACAATTGTTGTTAAGGGCTGTCAAGTCGGTCGACCCATAGCGACCCTGTACAAGGTTTCCGAGGCTGTAAATCTTTACGGAAGCAGAATGCCTCATCTTTCTCCCGTGGAACCACTGGTAGTTTCGTACTGCTGACCTTAAGATTCACAGCCCAATTCGTAACCACTACACTACCAGAAATACTTAAAAACAAAACAAAAAAACACCAAAACTTTGCATAGTCAATAAAGCACAAGTAAACATCAAAAAAAAAAAGACTAGTGTTTTATCATTTCAGGGAAGCTTCCATTCCTTTGATTTTACTAAATTTATCGTTTAAAAGAAAAAAGTACAGCAAATACACAACGTATGTGTAGTTAACAATTGCCCACTGCAAGACAGAATGTGGCTAGCCCCCAAGTGGAACCTTTTCCCAAGCATAGCCAAACCTCCTTCGGAAAGCTCATTACAAGCCAAAGGCACGCCCACACTTTTCTTTTTAGCTTTACCTAATCCTGGTGTGGCGCTGTGAGGTAATGCGCCAGACTGCAAGGTCAGTGGTTCAAGCCCACCAGCTGCTCCTTGAAAACCTTATATAGGGTGGCTGTAGGTTGGAAGTGACTCAGTAGCGCTTTACAACATCAGCATCAGCTCATATAATTTATGTAGATTTGCTTGTTTTCAGCTGAGTATTTTTGCAGTCAGGATTGGCTTGCTCAATATTACACAAGGAGTGCTTCAGAAGTTTTGTGTTTTAACTTTTTATTGTGAATTGAGTAAAGATTTACAGATAAGATCATCAGATTTAATTTCAACAAATATACACTTTGTTCTATCTCAAGGATAACATCCCCCTCTATGTAACAAGTTACCCTGTGGTTCTTATTTGCATAGGAAGCCCACCTTCCTTTCCCTTATCAACTTGGCTCTTAAGAAAATGTGCCCTTTTGTGGATCCAGAGAGGGAGAGCGACTGTGTGCTGAAGACCTGGGGCGGGTACTGGGGAAGGATTGCATTGAGGGGATTGTAACCATGGCAATGAGAGAATGGATATACGATAGAATGAATGTAGCACTAATGTTCTCCCATGTAAAGTATCACATAATTCACAATAAAACATTTAAAAAACAAAAAAACCTTTCCTCAGAGCTGACAAAAACACAAAGCTTTCCCCTAGAGCCAGCACTCTGAATTTGGACTTCCAGCCTCCTTACTGGGAGGATAAATTTGTTTGTTAAAGCCAAAAAAAAAAAAGAAAAAGAAAATATGCCCTTTTGATTTTGAATAATTGACCATTCCATAGTGAGCATACCTTCAGTAGCTTCTAATTCTATTTTCCCTCCCTCAGAAATATATGATGCCCTTCATATTTGCGAGAGGCATTCATGCTGTTACAGGTGAATTTGCTTTGTTCTGTAACGAGTTGGCAGATTTATTTTAGACCTCGCTAACCATGTAAATCTCTCACATAGAATTCACTGTATTTTGTTTTGCCTTTTTTTTTTTTTTTTTTTAACGATCTTTTAAAAGCCTTCTTACTTTGCAAATTGGCCTTAAGTACTAAGTACTCTGTACCAATTTATTGTTTGAATTGATAGCATTAATTTCTTATTAATGAACATTTGGGCTGCTGGACATTTGTTCTACTATAAATAATGCTTCTATGAAAATGTACATTTTTCAAATCTTCAAATTTGCAATCATTATGGGGGGAATACATACCTAGGTGTATACCTTAAGCTTAATTCTCTTTCGAAGCATATGTATAACATCAATCTAAATGTTTTCTAAGGTGGTTGTACCACTTTACAATTCCTCTAGCAAAATACTTTTCACTTTCTGAATAGTGTTTTATGTGATCTGTTTAAAATATGCTTCTATACCCTAGTGCCATCTTTTCATTTTAAAATATGTTAGAATATGCTTCAATACCCTCATGTCATCTCATCATTTAAAACTATGGATTTGCTTTTTCCATTAAGAGTCACAATTTAATAAGAATGATTATCTGTGTGAATTTTTTCTTTCACAAGTATATCTGATTGACCAAGTGCCTTTTTTTTTTTTTTTTTGCTTTCTATTGTGAATGTAGTATAGGTTTACAGACAAGATCATCAGTTTTACCCTCAACACACAGACACTCAGTGATTGCAATCGCTTCCCTGCAACAACAGGCATCCTGCTAACTCGCTGTGGTTCCAATTTCCATTCTATCCTCCTTCCCAGCCCATCTCTCTCCCCTCTCCTCATTCTGCAACTAAGCGCATTCATGAAAGCTTGTAAACCAACCACCTCAGACCTGTGTAGCAGTCCTCCATTTTTGATGGCCAATGTCTACGTTTCTCATCCTTATCAACCCAGTACCCTGAGGAGAGAAGGTTGTTACTTGATATGAAGAATCCTTCCATTCCAGTTGGAATTTTGAGTCTCTGCACTCATAAGCAAAAATCTAGTTCTTCATAGTGTCACTCCATTCTCAGTATCAAACATCTTTATCTTCCTTGGTTGGAGTTCTAGTCAACTGGTCACCCAACCTAGGTCAAATGGGTACTAGTGACAAGTATGGGAGTTCACACTCAACTCTCTGCACTTCAGACCAGTCGGTCACTTCACTCTCAGCCCTAACCTCCAAGGGCTAGGTTAGTGCCCATGGGCTCAGGAGTTCACACATCATCTTAAACTTCAGACCAGCCGGCCCTGTCTCTTCTCTCTATTTATCATCTCAGGATCAATGGGTGTCAATGGAACAAGGCCAAACTCAGCCCATGTCTTCACTGCTGCGTGTACCATACCCATGTGGTTACTAGTACTTTTCTTTCCTTGATGCCTCCAAAGCATCCCCATCCCTTCTTCTCAATTTTGTCCTTATGTAAATGTTGCCCTGTTGATTTTGAATGACTGGCCATTCCATGGTGAGCACCCTTACTATGTGTTGTTGTCTCCCTACACACCTGTCTACTACTTGGCTGAAAATTGGGCCACATGGGTGAGTCCTTTTCCATACCTGAAGGATGGTGGAGGTCCATAGTCTCAAGTTCCTCTAGTCTCTTTCTGACCAGTAAGCTGGTTTTTTGTTTTGTTTCTTTAATATAATTTTGAGTTTTGTTCCACATTTTCTCCCACTCTATTCAGGACCTTGTAGTGGGAGCTGGACACCATTTAGTTCTGGTCTCAGAATTGTGGAGACTAATGTTCACATGTTCCAATAGTCCATTCCCAGCCTTTTCAGTTCTCATCGCTCTTCTTTCTTCCACACATGGAAAGACCACAGTTGCATCTTAGATGGCCACTCGTGAGTTTTCACGTTCCCAGATGCTACTCATCCATATAGGATGTAGAAGTCTGTGGATTGTGTTATATCAGTTGACCATGGTGTTCCCTGAGACAATGTCCAGCAACTCATTGCCTTAAGATGTTTGGTAATATCTAAGCAGTTTTCACCATTTTGCCCGCAGTTTAATCCATCACATTCATAGGTGTGTTGGCAGAAAATCAAGGACCATTTTTTGAAAAGATAGCTTTTACCCAGTCCTGGTGCAGCTCTGCGGGTTAATGTGCTAGACTGCAAAGTAGTTTTGAACTGCAAGGTCGGCGGTTCGTGCTCACCATTTACTCCCTGGAAACCCTATATAGGGTCACTATAAATTGTAACCAACTCAACAGCACATAACAAAACAGCTGTACATTTTTAATTTTTCATTTTATCATTGTTATTGTTGTTATGTGCCATCAAGTTGGTACTGACTCATAGTGACCTTATGCACAGCCAAACGAAACACTGCCTGATCCTGGGCCAACCTCACTACTGTTGCCACGCTTGAGTCCATCAATGCTGCCACTTTACTAGTCCATCTCCTTTTCTCTGACCTCCCACCTTAACAGGCATGATACCCTTCTCCAGCAACTAGTCCCTCCTGACAGTATGTCTAAAGAATGAGAGACGAAGTTTGGCCATCGTGGTCTCCAAGGAGCACTCTGGCTGCACTTCTTCCAAAACAGATCTGTTGGTTCTTTTGGCAGCCCATGGCACTTTAAATACTCTCTTCCAACACCCTAACTCCAAAACCTCAATTCTTCTACGGTCTTCCTTATTTTATCACTGAGGGGGAGTAAAATGTTCTGAGTCACCAAATAGACCAAATAGTCAACAGTGTTGAGAGCGTTGCGTTCAGTACCAGGAACAGTGACAACATGTGGGCCCAGACAGCATGCATCACTCACATTGGATTCTCCTTTCAGCCTACAGGTCTTTGCTGTTCAGCAGCAAGAGACTCAACTGAAGAAGGAAGAGGCCCCAGGATTTGGTTGTTGTCCTTTTAGGGGATGCCCTTCGTAGGAAACTGAAGTGTCTGAACAGAAATCTGATCCCGAAACCACAGACACAGAGCATCCCTGTTACCTGCCTTGTCACAAGAACAGAAGAGAATGGTCAAGGTGACTCTTGCTTTGTGTTTTGTTTCCTTTGTTCCTTAATGACTTTGTAAAATAGCCATTTGCTTCATTTGAAAAGTGTACATCTGGGAAAGTAGAAGCTAGAGAGAAAGAAACTTAGACTGTGATTCTACATCAGGCAAAATAGAATTCACACTACACTGCTCATAGGGTTCTCAGTAACAGATTGGCTTCGAGCATAATAGGTGATTTGAGGATCCTTTGGGTCCGTTTCCATGTACTAGTTCCCTGTCCTGAGTCCTGGTGTGGCGCTCTGGTTAATGTGCTGGACTGAAAAGTCAGTTGATCCACACAGTCGGTGGTTCAAGCTCACCAGCTGCTCCTTGGAAACCATATACAGGGTCGCTATGGGCCAGAACCGACTCGACCGCACTTAACAATAACAACAACATTTCCCCGTCCAGCAAGAGAGAATCATGATCATTTCAATGCTATACCCAGTTTTTTGAGAAGAAAGATGAGTTCCTCTTTCAATTTCAATATTTCTCGGGACTTTTATTGAGTAACTTTCTTTAATGTTTCTCCCTGGAGATGATATGGAGGCCAGTATCTTGAATAGCAACATTCTTGTAGATGTAAAAAAGGGTTTCCTCAATGTCTTTTTTTCAAAGTTCCTCATAGACCCATAAAGGAATGGAACAAGCAAACTCGGTGGATAGAGTTGAGTCTCATAAAGGTTGAATGGGGAATGCTCCGAATTCAAGCCTGTTTACTTTATTTTGGGCAGGATTCCGGTTGATGCTCAATGTGTGTTGGGCAGAGGAAGCTCTCCGTTTGTTGCTCCATAGACATCCCCAACGTGGCAACTTGCTTCAGCAATACCAGCAAAACAGAAATAAAATCTAGGGTATAATCTCCTCACGAATGACATGATATCAACGTTGCCACATTCCATTAGTAAAGACAAAGTCATTAGGGCATCCCAAACTCCAGGAGAGGGGACTGTAGTGATGGTGGTGGTGGTGGTGATGGTGGTGGTGGTTATGTGCCGTGGAGTCGGCCCCGACTCATAGCCACCCTGTCTAGGGTTTCTGAGACTGTGAATCTTTACGGGAGCAGAAAGCCTCATCTTTCTCCCATGGAACTGCTGGTAGTTTTGAACTGCTGACTGTGAGATTAGCAGCCCAACTAGTAACCACTACGCTACGAGAGCCAGAAAGCCAAACCGGTGAAGCATGTATATGTACGGATATATATGTTGTTGTTAAGTGCCGGTGTGTGTGTGTGTGTGTGTGTGTGTGTATAAAGAGAGAGAGAGAGAGAGAAGTATATTATCAAGGAAATGGCTTACAATTGCAGAGTCCCAGGTCCCCAGCAGAAGAGAGAGAGAGAGCCTTTCCTGTGTGTCCTTTATATTGGGAGCAGGCCACACCCCCAAGGAAGCATGCCTTCTACTGATTGGCTGCTCATAGCCACCCATCCTAGAGCTAACTGTGCCTGTGTTAGGTTTCATCACCAGGAAGTTAAGCATATCCCAACTGCTAAACCTCTGGAAATCCTGGCCTAGTCAAATCGACACAAAGTCCTAACCATTACCCTTGCATAGATCTGTTCTCCAGTAAAAAAGTTATTCTTGAGTGCAGAGTGAGACCTTTGGCTATGTTTTCTCAATCAGAAGTTACAACTAGGCCATATGTTACACATCCTCACTCTACTCATTTTTACAATCTTCTTAATGTTCTCTTTTTTGCTGGTAGCATAGTGGTTATGAATCGGGCTGTGAACCTCAAGGTCGGCAGTTCGAAACTACCAGCCGTTCTGCGGGAGAAAGATGAGGTTTTCTGCTCCCATAAAGATAGACAGCCTCGGAAACCCTGTGCTGGGTCGCTATGAGTCAGAACCGACTTCACGGCACATAACCACAGCCACATAGCATTAAATTTCTAAAATTGTACATTACAGTCAACTATAAGGAGTTCTGGTAGCGTAGTGGTTACGAATCGGGCTGTGAATCGCAAAGTCAGCAGTTCGAAACTATCAGCTGTTCCATGGGAGAAAGATGAGGCTTTCTGCTCCCATAAAGATTTACAGCCTCGGAAACCCTGTACAGGGTCGCTATGAGTGGGAACCGACTCCACGGCACATTATAACAACAACATCTCTAGAGTATTTGATACACTGTTAATTTTTTAATACACTGCCTGTTACTGGAATGTGCGTCTACAACAACGTAGTATATGTGTATTGTGTTTGTGTGTGTGTGTAAATATGAGATAGTCCTTGCTTAAGAAGACCATGTCACTGCTACACATGACTGAAAATTCTAATTTCATCAGTGGGTGGACTACTGAGTGCACAAATTCAGAATATTTTGCTTGGATTTTGTTTTTTCTATGAACTATTAAAAACAAAACAAAAAAACGTCAGTATGTAGATGCATCAGTCCATATAGAATGAATGAGTCTAAGAACTTCCCTCCCACTTCATCAAATGGAAATCACTTCATTAAACCTGGACCCTGTTGTAACAGGATTTGCTGACATTGGAGGACGTGGCTGTGGAGTTCACCCGGGAGGAGTGGCAGCTCCTGGCCCCTGCTCAGAAGGCCCTGTACCGGGACGTGATGCTGGAGAACTACAGCCACCTGGTGTCTGTGGGTGAGGACAGCTCCACTGTCATTGTACCTGTCATAGGCTTTTCCTTCCTCGGCTACTGAAATCTTTGGAATGTCTGTAGTGTTCTTGAATGTCAGTTTCTCAGTCCACTCTCTGGCCCTAAATAAGAGGGTATATCCTTTCTTCTACTGTTAGAAAATCCTTAAAATTTATACATTTGAAAATATTTTTTTCGTAGATACAGCTGTCTACAATCTACACAAACCCCAGGCCCATTTAGTGTGTCTTGGTCTTCTGTCATTTCCTAGGAACAGGACATCAAGTCAGCAAACCAGATGCCCTCTCCCAGTTGCAAGAAGAACAGCCATGGACTGTATTGGACAACAGCTGTAATCGGAACTTTTCAGGTAAGCATGCAAAAACCAGTAAGGGAGGAAGGTTGAGGAAGTCACGTTCATGTGAGACAAGATGCCACAGCTGCTGCGAGGGGCGTCTCAGGATAGCAGAATAGTAACTTTGAGTATAGGAAGCAGCCCATAATTGGTTTCTATAAGGTTAAGGTCAGATATACAGCGAAACCTGTGAAAACCGAAACTCAATGAGACTGCCTTATTTTTTCTGAATCTCGAAAGTTTTGTAACTTCAACGGGGCGCACTCTTAAAACTTTCCTGTCACTTATTTAGTGGAAGGTATTTTGAGCTTTCCGTCTCTGACATAGTTCCGCCTTACACAGGTGTTGCTCAATCCCAACTCCTCCGTTTCCACATTGTTTCTGACGTGAGTGCTTCTTCAGCACGCTCGTTTTCGGTCGAGTTGCAATAGTCACAGAGAATTTACATAAACACCCACATCTGCAATTACAGATTTCAGTGTATGAAAGACATATGTGTAAAACAAAGAATGTTTCATTACAATCATTATAATCCCCTCCATGTACCATCGGTTAACAGTATTTCTATCTATTCACTTTAGCTCTTTCTCTCTCTTTTTTTTAAAACATTCATGAATATATAATAATTTACACCACCAAAGGACATATTCTGCAAGTCTGCCTCCTGGCCACCAGCTCTTAGTCCCTCTCTTTCCATGAATCTAGAGTCCTCAGCTGCTCCCTCTTTCCATGTCTCCATCTCTTCCTCCGTCTCTGGTGTGGCTGCTTCTCTGGATAAGGTCTCGCATTCTGCTTGTGCTCTTCTCCCTTGATGGCCCTAGGGTCCTCTCTTTCTGGACTGTAAGATTAACTACTCCCCTGTTTTTGTTACAAAACTTCTACTTTTACAGTTGTGACAGTCACAATTACTCATGATGACTATTACTCGCTGTTGATTCATAAGAATCTTATCCCCATCTCTTTTCACCAGACCAATCTAGACAAGATGAAAACTATCCAGAGGGAACTGTATCTTCCCCTGCACACTCTGAAAATAAACTCCCCCTTGAAACCTTGTAAGCCAGTCATTTCATGTCTTTTACCTCATTTTAGGTAGCCAATGTCTAAGTTGCCCATCCCTATGTGCCCTGCACAGTGATTTGCTTTTATTTTACTCTCTCTGCATGTTTTCTAAGACCATGTTTAAAAAGAAGCCCAATCTCTCTATAATCATCATGTATTATCTAACGTTTGGAATGTTTATATTAGTGTCTTTTTACTGATGTGTACAAAACACTAAACATACCATTTTAATTCCTCTCATATTACAAAGTTGTCATTAATGAGTCCTGTTGCATCAACACATTTGAAAATGGCTTCATTGCAAATCAAGATTATAGAAGGATCTCTTGTTGTTTTCTTTTCTAGAAATCTGGAAAGTCGATGACTGTCTGCATGTGCCCTCCCAAAGTGAGAGCAGGATGGATAGATTGGAGCAGCGGCCTGAAGATAATGCATTGGGAAACATTATTCGTCAGCACAAAAGTAATTTTCCTTTAAGTCAAAATCATGATGTGTGTGATTCGGACGAAAAAGTTATGAAGACAGAATTAACTTTAATCAACCAAAGTGGAAGCTCTGAAATAAACAACTCTATTAAGCTTAATTGGGTTAATGCGCTGGACTACAATGTTGGCTTGAACCACAAAGTTGGCAGTTCACGTCCACCTGCTGCTCCTAGAAAACCTTATACGGGGTCACTCTGGGTCGGAACCGACTTGACGGCACTTAACAACAACACTAAGCTTAATAGAGACAAGGAAACCATTTTCTGTACTGACCACGAGCAATTTTGTGATCAAATTAAATTCGAAGAGGGTCAAAAATTTAACAGTACTAAATTTCAACTCATTAAGCACCAAAAAGTTCACAAAATACAGAAGACTCTTGTACGTAGTGAATGTGGCAAAACCTTCATCAAATCTTGGTCCATTCATCAGATCATTTATACAGAAGAGAAACCCCATAGGTGCAGTCTTTGTGGGGAAGCCTTCTCCAACAAGCTTCAGATGACGGAACACCATCAGAATGCCCATGCAGGAGAAAGACCATGTGTATGTCTAGAATGTGGCAAAGCATATCTCTGCAAATCAACGTTAGAGAAACATCAGAAAACCCATATTGCAGAGAAACCCTATGTATGCAGTTGGTGTGGAAGAGGCTTCATACTGAAGAGAAATCTCATTGTTCACCAGCGAACTCATACTGGTGAGAAGCCCTATGTATGCAGTGAATGCGGAAAAGATTTCATCCAGAAAGGAAATCTCATTAGTCACCAGCGTATTCATACCGGAGACAAAGCTTACATCTGCAATGAATGTGGAAAATGCTTCAAACATATGGGGAATCTTATCACTCATCAGCGAACTCACACGGGAGAGAAATCTTACTTCTGCAGTGAATGTGGGAAGGGCTTCATCCAGAAGGGAAACCTTGTTACACATCAGCGAACTCACACTGGAGAGAAGCCTTATGTATGCAGTGAATGTGGAAAATGCTTCAAACATACAGGAAGCCTTGTTACTCATCAGCGAACTCATACTGGAGAAAAGCCCTACAGATGCGGTAAATGTGGAAAAGACTTCATCCAGAAGGGAAATCTTATTACTCATCAGCGAATTCACACTGGAGAGAAACCCTACGTCTGCAGTAAATGCGGGAAAAGCTTCATCCAGAAGGGAAACCTTGTTACTCATCAGCGAACTCACACTGGAGAGAAACCCCATGTGTGCAGCAAATGCGGAAAATCTTTTAGCCAGAAGTCAAGTCTTACTGAACATCAAAGAATTCACACAGGAGAGAAACCTCTCCAATGCCGTCAATGTGGGAAACCCTTCATCACGAAGTACAGGCTCATGGTCCATCAGAGATCACATACAGGAGAGAGACCATGTGGTTGCACTCAGTGGGAGAACTTCTGCCTAGACCTATTGCCTTGTGAGACATAAAATAATACACATGAGAGGGGAAGGTGCATGTTCAGTCAAGGTAGGGGGCCCTTCCTCAGCGAGTCATAGCTCATTGCACGTCAGTGATCGCATGGTGGGAGAGAAGCACTGTTAATACGGTGACTAGGCACATGCCTTTGTGGCAGCTCAGACTTCAGTAAACATCAGTGGATTCCTGACAGGAACGTAGTCCTTGTGGGGCAGCCTGTGGGATAGCAGAGTGAGACATCAGGAGATAACAGAGAATTTGTACAGCAGAAAAATCTTACCAATACGGTGAACATGGTAATGCCAATGAAAGCAGTGAATGTGGTAGTGTCTTCCGTGACCAGTTACATCTTTATGTCCCACAAAACCCAGAGAACAAACTCAAGAGACGTTCACTGGAGCTGACTGTTAGCAAAAGTTTCTAATTCATTATGTAGCTGCAAAATGTACATGGAGAGAAGTAAACAGGAACTGGGAATGTCTGATATGCTCCTTTTACATAAATATATGCATTGATATCGAGACATAATTCTAATTTTAAAGCAAATGCGTAAACATTGGTTGCCCTGTTGTGTCAAATAAATGAAGTCTGAGCTCACGTCAGTGGATAAAGTAAGTCCTGTGAATTTTTAAAACAAATAATTCTTGGTATCTGAAGGTGGTTTATTGCTAATTTCTGTTGAGTTGATACCCATTCATGGCGCCTCCACATGCTACAAATGGAAAATCATTTGGAAGTGAAACCCTAAGGAGCAATTGAGGGCACATATTTGTTCAGTTTTCCCAGATCGGTGTGAAGGATCGTTTGAAACGAGAGAGAACATCTTCCATCAATGCTGAGAACTTTGTATTACACAGAAGGACCAATGAAACATTTGCTTTACTTTGAATCTGTTCATTAATGTAACAAACATTGCACACATGCTGCCTTTGTATCTGGCCCTGTTTCCAAGTGTTGAAGATGCAGTAGTGAATCAACGAGGAAAAAGCCCATGCCTTCTCGGAGCATTGGGTAGACCAGCAAGCTAATCTAGTCAAAGGGTGTAACATCTACATCAGGTGAAACGGACATGGAATCATTAGTATAGCATGTTTAGCTAGAAGTTTTAGGAGTTAAACATCCTACACATTTCTATTGAAAAAAATTTTTTTTGTATATATGAAAGGTAAGTTTTTCAGAAAATAAACAACTTTAAATTCTGATTAAAAGATCCTCTTAAGAAACAGTGAAGTCAGAGATGGAGGCAGAGACGATGATGTGGAGAGATGGAGCAGCTGGGGACTCTAGACCTAGAGAGGGAGAGGGGCTGTGTGCTGACAACTGGGGGTGGGGGGGGTGGGGAGAGGCGGGGGGAGGCTTGCAGGGTAAACCCTGTGGTTGGTTGATGATGCATGAGGGGGACAGTAACCATGACAACGAAAGGATTATATGATAGGATGAATGTAAAGCTAATGTTCTCCCATGTAAATTATCACATAATCTACAATAAAACATTAAAAAAAATAATTCCCTTAGATAAAGCAGATGTGCCATATGGTTTAAACATGATCTGATTTACAAAATCTCATTTAGTCCTATTTAATAAATAAAATATATCAATGGTGTAATGTTGGGCTACTGGTAACTATCAAGAAATCCCATGTAAATTTTAGGGGGGAAAATTTGTTGTCAATAATTAGCATGAAAATGCAGATTGTATATTATATCAAATAACTTTTGCTAACTTTTTTTTTTTTTTAAAGATTTTAAAGTAAACATATTTTATTGGGAAGAAAACAAATCTAGTCAAACAGACAAAATACTTCAAAGTCACTCATAATTCTGCCAATCTTAATAACTTTTAAAAATTTTTTATTGTAAATTAAATGAAAGTTTACAGGGCAGATCATCAGTTTTACATTCAACAAAGCATACACCTTGTTTGCTTTTGCTACTTTTTAATGAACTGGCTTATTTTCAAAATTAATACTGTCATATAAAAATGCAAGTTGTGTAGTCTAAATTTATTTTGCCAAAAATCTTACTAACTAGATCAGGAGTCAGAATGCTTTTTCAAAGGCCAATTAGTAAATATTTCACACTTGACATTGTTGAGACTCACGAGTCAACTGTCACTAAGAGCAGGAATAAGTCACAGACAGCCTCTAAGTGGGTGGGTATGCTTATAGGCTGTGTGTCACCCGACACAGAACTAAACAATACATTTTAAATAAAACATTATTTCAGGTGCCATATACACATATGCCAGACTTTGAGAAGTAGGAATAACAATGCAGATGTGTAGACATTCTATTGAAAAATTTTTAATCAAAATCTAGGTGACATTGAGTTGATTCCCAGCCGTGGTGACCCTGTGTGTGGGAGAGTAGAACTCTGGTCCTTAGAAACTGTCATAACTGAATGTTTGGAAATGGAGAACTGGGTATTTGTTCTGAAATGTCTCTGGGTGGCCTCATCCCTCCAATAGTTTGGATTAGCGGCTGAGTGTGATAACAATTTGTATTATCCATGGATTGTTGGAATAAAGAGTTCATTTAAACTACTCTTTATTAGTACTTAAGCATACAACACAAATCTAAGAGTTCTGATGTGGTGCTGTAAGGTAAGCAGTGGGTTGCTAACCTCAAGGTCAGTGGTTCAGACCCACTAGCAGCTCCTTGGAAACCCTAGACTCCGTGAGTCAGAACCAATTCGACGGCACTTAACAACACCAAGCCTACATTAAACCAAGTGAGTTATTTTGTAATGCCCATGTTTTATCTCTTTATCTCTCCAGGTAGATAATGCCTAGATACTTTTATTTCTCCCCAAGTTATTTTAAGTTTCTGAATTTTTCTAAGTATTTATGCTTAAAAAGAATATGAGTATGATATCTGTTGTTACTGGCTGTCGAGTCAGTTCCAACTCAGCGGCTGCCTGAATAATTTATAAAACCCAAAACTAGTCCCTGTGAGGTGGAGGTTTAAGAAATCCCAACTGTCTGACTTTTCTGACATGTTACTCCCTCCATAAGCCTTGATATCAATCACCGCTCCGCCCTTCCCTCAAGTCCCAGGGTTCTGCAACACACAGCCATGTCTTAACAAAACACAGTTGTCAAAAGAAATGGCTCACACCATTGTGGAGGCTAGCAAGTCCCAGAGCCATAGTTCAGAAATCTCAAGGAAGAAAAGTCTCACCTACTTAGTCTCTGGAGCTGAGGAGCCCAGATTGGCAGGTCATGTGATGGGCCCAAAGGCCCACAAATTGGAAGTCAGACGTCATGGTCCAGATACAAGACCCAGAGCAACAGAGCGAACTTTTCTAAAGCAGTCTTATCAACTGGAGTCAGACTGTGACCCCAAAGGGAATTAAAGGCAGCGACTTGAGTCACACCCTATACTAATGTGGAGGTGACCTTAATCCTCAGTTCCACTGTAATGGTTAGTCCTTGGGTGGTTGTGTGCTGTGGAGTCGGTTCTGACTTAGCAACCCTGCATAGGGTTTCCGAGGCTGTAAATCTTTACAGGAGCAGAAAGCCTCATCTTTCTCCCGCAGAACTGCTGATAGTTTCGAACTGCTGACCTTGAGGTTAGCAGCCTAACTTGTAACCAGTACACTACCAGAGCTCAGCCAATTTTCTTGGCATAGACAAATGAGCACCTATAGTTCTGCATCAGTTTGTTGAAACATTTCCATCTGTTTGCCATCAGTTCCTGGAGCGTTGTTTTTTCCAAGTGCTGTTGGACTTCTTCCCTTAATATGATCAGTTCTTGATACCTCTTGCCATGGTTGAACATCGACCAGTTCTTTAGATAGAGTGACTCTGTGTATTCCTTTCATCTTCTTTTGATGTTTCCTGTGTCGTTCAATATTTTGCCCAGAGAATCTTTCCAATCTGATGCTTGAATTTTGTCTTCAGTTCTTTCAGCTTGAGAAATGCTGAATGTGGTCTTGCATTTTAGTTTTCTAACTCCAGATATTTGCACATTTCATTATAATACTGTACTTAGTCTTCTTAAGCTGCCCTTTGAAGATTTTCTGTTCAGCCCTTTTACTTCATTTCTTGCAATTGTTTTAGCTTCTCTACATTCAAGAACAAGTTTCCTAGTCTTCTGAGATCCATTTTGGTCTTTTCTTTCTTCCTTTCTTTTTAAAAAAGCTTTTATTGTGAGTTGAGTGATAGTTTATATGGAAGAACATCAGTTTTACACTCATCCTGTCATATTTCGTTTCATTGCAATGATTACAATCCCTTCCGTGCATCATCATTCAACAGTATTTGCTTCTATTCCCTCTGTGTTTTGTTCTATTGTTTTGTTTTGGGGATGTACCCCAAAACACTCAGGAATAAATAGTCATTTAAACAACCAAAGGGCACATTCTGCAAGCCTGCCTCCTAGCTACCAGTATCCAGCCTTTCTCTTTCCATGAGTCTAGAGTCCTCAGCTGCTTGCTCTATCTCTCCATGTCCTCATCTCTGCCTCCATCTCTGGTGTCGCTGCTGCTCTGGATAGGGTACCACACTCCACTTGTGCTCTTCTTCCTTGATGGTCCTAGGGTCCTTTGTTGCTGGAATGTAAGATTAACTACTCTTAAAATCTTAAGATTTTTGTTACAAAATTTCTAACTTTACAGTTATGACTATTGCAATTAGTCATGATAACAATTACTATTAAATCATAAGCATCATATCCCCATCTCCTTTCACCAGACGAGTCTAGACAAGATGAGAACTATTCAGTGGGGACTCAATCTCCCCCTGCACACTCTGAAACTAAAGTCCGTCTTGAAAACTTGTAAGCCAGTTACTTTGTGCCTTTATAACACCCACACACACACACACACACACACCATTTTAGGTAGTCTATGACTAAGTTGCCCATCCCTGTCAATCCTGTGTACAGAGTGGATAGAATTTATCCTTGATGTGAAGACTCCTTCCATCTCAGTTGGTATTTTGAGCTACTACATCCATAAATATAGGTCAAGTTCATCAAATGGTAGCAATTTATACTTGTTTCCTTTATCA